TTCCTCGCGCAAGAAGGGAATAAGTGAGGGCGAAGGAAGTGCGATTCGCTTGGAAAAAAAAAGAAAAGCATGTAACACGATTTGAGGGGAGAGAGAGAGAGAGAGAATGAAGGGTGCGCCACGCGAACGCGAGCAAATGTATGCATGCCGTGCGGCGGGGCGTTATTTACGCGACAATTAATGAGCAGCGAGACTTTGCGTAAATTATGGACATCACGTACCACGGTACCGAGTGTTCTCACGGAAGCGGCGAGCGGAAACGCCGTGAAACGCGAGCTGCTACCAAACAGCGGCGGAGCGAAGATAAAGCACAGGGTGAAAATGTTAGACGTAATCCTAAATATTCGCATTGTCTCGTATCATCAAAAAGATTCTGCCGTTACGATTATGTTACTGCAAAAAGCAAAAATTATACTTTCTGCTGTGAGATGCGCTAAAATGGTGTTTAAAACGCAAAGCGCTACTAGAGAGTCTATAGTATAACAGAGATGCGCCAAAAGTCACGTGATTGTGATATTTTCTAATTAGCTGAAGTGAAAATTGTATTTTAGCCTTGTTTTTATGTCTAACAAACGAAAAAGATATAGACGCAGATTTGAAAATAATTTTGTTGAATTACCAAAATAATTACGTAGGAATCTCAAGCATAATGAGAACGATGTTGCAAACGGTTTTTGCAAATGCAAGGCCGTAATATAACAAAATAATCAACGCTTTTGTGTCATTCTATCTTTGCCGTTCATTATTTTTTATCGTAAAAGAAAGACAGGACAATTTTCATTTTAGCCAGCAAATATCACGATCACATTGAATTATATCAGGTGGACATTAAAATTGTCAAACACATAAATTTGCATTTCAATCATATATAAGTTTCAAATATAACCATAATGTAGCGCACATCAGAAAGACAGGTATTTTATATATTAAAATTAATTTGAAATAAAATGTATTTTTGAAAAATAATAAAAGTCACGCGAAATTAAATTTTTGCTGGGATTAATCCAGTTGCAGAGAGAAATTATTTCAGACAGGCATTAAAATTGTCGAACATATAAATTTGGTATCGAGTTAAGAGGATTGAAAGACTCGTGTGTCGTTGCTTAAGAGAAAGTGGAACGAATGGGGGCAAGTATGCAATTTTTATGACACTGCTTCTGTAAATCCTGTCGATCCGAGATATATATAAGGGAGGAAAAACATATACTAGCAGTGGAAAAGCGGGTCGGTGGCGCGGCGAAACTTGCCTGGGCTCTTTTCAACGTTATTTACACACGTGGCGTATTACGCTTCAAGTATTTTGAAGAGAACAAGAGCCCACATGGCCGGAAGAGAAATAAATTTCAAGTTTTGCACTTGCAAAAACTTTTTGCAGCATTGCGCATCTCATTATGCTTCAGATTCCTAATCGTAATTATTCCGATAGTGCAACAAAATTATTTTCAAACGTGTATCTAAATTTTTAGATGCCTCAGCAGAACCGTCCTTTTCATGTAGTGAGACAGAAATAATGACTTATTTTTGAAGGTACAAAATACCGGAGCAAAGATTAATGGCTCTATAATGAGGCGGATTACAGTATCTATATATATTTGCTGTCAAATAAATTTCTCTATAATTAGACATGTGCCACTTTTACAATTGGGTCGATTCGTGACTGATACACGCATTTAACTGTATAATTGTAGACTGTAATAATATCGCAATATGTCGGCTATTTTTAAATGCTTATTATAAACCTGGACAATTAATATGATATGTTACGTAAATTATACCGCGTGTAAAATAGACTAAATTACATGCGTTCATATTGAGTTACATGTCTGGGATCATATATGTTACACTAATTTCTGCTTCTCTTGTACAAAAACGAAATTAGCACGATGAAAAATTTAGTTGCTCCCAATCAATTCGTCTAAGATCGACCATTTTAATAAAAAAAAATAAAAAGAAAATTTTATTTTCCTTCTAATATTATTAACATCAAAAACCGCGCGGTAGAAGTTAATGAAATAAAACTTAAATCTCGTCTTTATCATTTATCTCACGTCTCAGACTTTCTAGACGTAGTACGAGAAGTAAGAAATTCGTGCAGAGTCTTTCACAGCGATTTCTCATCACGTTTAGTGACTTCTCAGTTCTTTCTGAGTTAATCACGAGTTTAATCACGATACCTCGTAATTGAAAACTTCAACGAAGTAACCTTTCCATCTATTAAAAGTCAGATACAAACATCGAAAAATGTCAAGATACCACTTTGATTTGTTAACACTGCGACACCGACTGTTGTTGCGATGTTGTCGAGCGCGAGGGGGACTATCGTGAGGTGCGAGGTGTCTCGGCCATTCCACTTCATCGAAAATCGACAGTTGTCGAATCGGTTATTAGAGGCGTCGTGTCCACGCGTGCACCTGTACGCGCCAAATGGCCCGAATTGATCTTAACGTCTCTCAGAGCACACCCGGAGGGCGCGAGCCTTAGCATTCCAATAATTGCATGTCGCGTGCGTGGGCACAGAGTTAAACCTTGCACACACAAGCCGTCACTCAATAGGACGTTGCCTCGACGTGGGCCAGAATCAATTCAGTCGCTGGACACGAAGTCCTGTTGATTTGATCGCAATTAAACCGGGGCGAACGTATTGCAGCTACGATGTCAAACACGGACGAGTGACTTTAAATTTAACGTTACATCAGATAATCCGACATGGCGCGAGTATTTCCATAATTTTAATTTTAAATAAATTTTTAATCGGATTTATTAAAGAGATTAATTTAATTATAAGAAATAAACGACAGCCTTTAATCCTAAATAATTGAGACATCTATTTGGAAAATTTAAGCAAGAATCTAAATAAAATGTCTGCTGTAAAGCTGATTACGTACAAATTCAATAGAGATAAATAAAATTGAATTAAAAGGAACGAATGAAAAAAAAAAAAAAAATAAAGCTGCAAAGTAGATAGTTTGTCGTTTGAGAGCCTTGTTCGCGTTTGACCGAAATTATGTTACGGTTATAATTGGAGATGCCGATCAATGTCGACGTCACTCGACGTCCTTTGTGGGCTCGAGAAACTACTAACCAGAATTATATTGACGTTAGGAAACACTTGGCAATGCACGTTCAATCGTTATTACTGTTTTAAGTGCCGATTATTTATAACATCGAAGTCGTACTGCTCGATCCGTGATAGAGGTCGATATAAACCTCGGTTAACCCTCTTAAAGAAGATTCATACGTAATACACATATCGAAGAGTTGTGACAAAGATAACAAAATTAAGCCATCTATTTATGCTAACAAAAGACTTAAAGACTTAATATCAATGTTATTGTTATTATCGATATTTATTTACGATATATTTTCTAATTTTCTGGTATTATACCTCTCTTTTATTGCATTGCAATATTCTTTAATCGATAGCATTAGATGTAAACTTTTTAGTCTGTCATAAACAAATGCCATAATATAGTCATATTTTAATTGTTTTATAAGAGAAACCTAGTATTATACTTGACAATTGTTTTTGTTAACTAATAATTTTGTGTAACTCTGTATAAAGCTCGTAATTTTACAAATATTCCGTATATACCATAGTTTATGGAGAATTCTGCGCAGCTTTCGAGCATTAACTGTGACCTAGAGATATCTAGCAGACTGAAGGACTTCATAGTGTAATCAGCAAAGAGCCTATTTGAGCAGTAGCCGGTTACGTAATACCACATATTTGCAACGTGTTCTCTTCACAGCTGGTGGTCCGTCAGATAATCCGGATTAAGCCGCAATTTAAATCGGGCCGTACGACCGGACCGAGGTTAGATTTAGTTTAAAACTCTCTAGTATTACGTGTCGTGGATTCGTAATGAACGTGAGCACAGTACGAAATTTAACCAATTTAACCGAACAAAAATATTTTACACGACACTTCTATTAAGCAGTCAACGTGAACTCTATAATTTTGTAAGTGTAGCTAATTTTACTTAAAATTCCATTATAAATTCGAGGCGATATGAAACATTGTGGAAAATAACTTACTCTCTTTACTCTCAAGATTTTCTATGTAAATATGTACATACATTTTTCCAATATCGAATTTGAATTTTAGATTCACGTAGCTAAACCAAATATTCTTGAAACATACATACAACATAGAACATAAGTGTGCAAATATGTGTATGTGTGTAACCATGTAGAATATTTTTGTCCGCCTGCATCGAGCAAATTTCCCATTGCAATGCATGGCAGAAGAGAAGCGCAAAAGAGAATCGTGAAATTTAAAACGCCCTGTAAAGCTTTTCTTCGTCTTGTTTTGCAATAAGGAAAGACTTTTGCATCTTTACATCAACGAAGTTGCCGAACGCGGAAAATGTATATATTTCCCGCGCAATATTCTCCGGGAAAATACGCTCGACGTTTGTACAGCATAGATCGTGTGTGATAGAAATGATATACGAGCTATATTTTTTTATTATTTCATGCGATAGACCGCTGTTCCCGTGCGAGCAATACGCGCGATCGGCCATTTCACGAACCGCTTTCAAAAGCACGGTCGTATTTTTCTATCGTGAGTTTCTACTATATATTCCGGTAAAACTTCAATTTCACGCATCAAATACCCGCAAGCATAATTCATATATCAATAATCTGAATATAATCTAACTTTGAAGAAAAAAAATAACCTTTGTCCGCGAGCAATACTAATCAAATTATTAAATTCTAATAATTAAATTTAGTAGTGACTGCAAGCAACACACATAATTTTAAATTCTAATCAAATTATCTGCCCAGATTTACAATTTTCTCATAAAATATTTTCGATATTTTCGCTAATACATATTTGCGATCCGGTAATATGACGCGGAACACTCTACGTACGATGTTTAAGCTCTAATGGAACCCTGTCGTAGCTTGAGGCGTTTAGTATCAGCGGCTCGGGAGAAAGCTCGAGGGACGAAAGTTACGGGGAGATAAAAGTGATAAGAAAGTTTCGGCCCACTTACCGTTCGGCACCGTCGGCGGTTTTTTCGTCTGTACCCTCGCCGTTGCGTTGTTCACCTGTCAAGTTAAAAAAAAGCAGACATTAAAATAACCGAAACTTTTTTCCGAAAAAGATTTCCAACTAACATCGCCCATCTTCAGGATCCGCGCGTGGCCATTTTTTTTTATCGCAGAAAATCTTAAAAAGCTCTCTTTAAAAAAAAAAGCGGAAGTAAAACACGAAAAGATTTCAGGAAGTTGATATTTATCGGTGAGACTAATTAAATTCAAAAAGTCCAAATATAACACCTGACTACTTGATTAAAGTTAATTATCAGCAATAAAATAATGGAAGAGAGAGCTTCCACTAAAATATTCACGAACGTGTAATGATAATTATCTGAAGTATTAATGGAACAAATGTGGTCGCATAAAAGCGATGTAATCATCATAGAAAATGCGTCTGAGTCCAATAAAATGTGAGAAACTTTGACAATTTCACGGGGCCGCGCGCGCGGATCCTGTAATCAAATATGCATTGTTCGATGCAGAATCCGATTTACAGGGGTGCAATTTGCAGCTCTGCGGCTGACTTTGTTCATTGAGAAATTGTGATTTTAATTCAAAATACGACAATCATACATATTCCTGCATCGAACAAGCGAATTATGAGTAATATTTAATAAACGATTAAAAATTATGTAGACGGTTGCACGTTATTTTCCCCTAATTGGTTTTCTTCAATGCAACCCGTTTCAATTATGTTTGTATATCGAGTTTGTGTGAATTATGATCGTTGTTTCACGCTATATTGGTCATACAAATCGTGTATATCGTACATTGTACGTACATATGCATATGTACACGCGATAGGTATTTATAAACGTGCAAACGCGCTACAAGTTTTCACTTGAATTCAGATTTTTTTGCTATTCAATTTTAACTTTTGATACGTAAATTTGGAATAAAGCATGTATAAAATTAATCAATTTAGAAAATAATTCAAGAATTTGTGACATTTGCGAAACGCATATTTTGAAAATTATCATCAAATTCACGTATCAATTATATAACTCTAATATTTCGAAATACGTCCGAATTCAAGGAATGTTTTTTATCTTAGCATTAAAATACAACAATATATGAAAATCTCTTTCCAAAAAGAGATTTTCTCTTTTACAGTTTCTAACTTCCAAAATAAAGAAAACCTTTTTCAGTGTATGACAAATTGTGAACGAGATATGATAAATTGAACGAGAAGCTTGAAATAAAAACAGTTTTTCCATAAACGTTATTCGAATGATAAATGTACATCATACATATTTTGCACGTCACATATATTTTCAGATTGAAACTCAGATCTTTATTTTCAGAACAAGAAGGTGCCATTTATTACATTTGGCATTAGCGTTATCTCAGAAGTTAGAAACTGCAAGATTCTTCGCGGTCGACGAATTTAACGCTCTAGTAACGATCGATAATTTATTATCCGATAATGCTCTCATTACGCAACTTAACGTTGATTTGTCGCTTTCTAATAAGCATTACAATGTTTCACACGATTGGCGTATCGATCCGTGAGCTAAATATCGACAATAAATTGATTTTAGCCGCCATATCGTGTATCGTAACTAATATAGCGGCCACGTACAATACACGTTTAAATAGCGTGCGAACAATTCTCGCGTTTAATCTCGTCGACCCGCAAAGAGAGCTTTACATGCGCGTCAATTGTCGACAGAGAAAGAGAAAGAGAGAGAGAGAGAGAGCAGACAATGTGGTTACATAAAATCAAACGTGTCGAAGGGCGCAACTAATTTGTTTTGTTATGCACCTTACGGATATCAATTTCGCGGGACAGTTTAATGAAAGTAATAAAAAAAAGGGGAAAAAGCGAACAATTGCTCTTTTGCATCAGTCGGGTTTCCTCCGCTTTTTCGATCTCTTTCTTTCTCTCTCTTTTCCTCCCTTCTCAGCATAATCGAGAAAACAATGGCACAAGCCTTCCGTCGATTTCCGATTATTTCAATTTCGCTCAAGTACCTTCGCGTCTGGCAAAAAGGGACGAGTTTCCGGATGGATCGCGACTTGTTTCGTTCTTTATCGAACGCTTCGCTTACCATGGGTTCTGCTTTGCTTTTTATGTTCTCCACCTACCTACCTAACAACCAGCCGCCCGCCTTCTCGTTTTCCTGTCCCACTTTGCGCCCACTTCAGCGGGGATACTATCGAGACACAAAGGGTCCGCGGTATCATACCATACAGCATCGTTTTCTACATTTGAAGCGTGGTACGAAAACGTACATCGTCCATCACAAATATTTCCCAACAACCGAGACCAATTGATATTGAGTTGATTGTTTGGATTTCTTAACAATACATTTTATTTACTCTGACTGTTTTCCATCGAAAATAATCGTACAAATTGGTGATCTATGAAGATTTAATTGTCGTAACAGATAAACGTTTTAGCAACGTTAAAATAAATAAGTTATAGTAAAGGATGGTTTTGCTGAAATATCTAAAAATTTAACTAGCTACAAATCTAAAAATAATTATGTAGAACACAGACAAATATTGTTCTATTATTATCTATAAGGAAAGTGATTACTCAATTTACTTTTTCCTTTTAAGTAACGGTTATTTTTAAAGAATTCGTTTTTTCCGTGTATTAATTAAATCACGTATATTATTTGCAAACCGGTTTTTGCGTCATTATTTTTTAATAAACGATAATAACTCCTAAACCTAATATAACTCCGTAGATCTTGGAAGATCTTCCACGAAATGCAATTTTCCTGCGATCGTAACCGAGGTAACGAATAAAAATTATTTACGCACTTCGTTCTCGAATTCACGATAGCTGAAACGCATCTTGAGCAGCGTTCGTGTATTGACTCTCACGAGGATTGTGAGTTACGAGGCTTACTCAGGCCAATCACGCCCGGCCTGGCGCGGCGCATCGTCGAGCAATTTGCATTTTACGATCTTGTTTCCGGCAACGAAGGTTTGGTGGCTGCCGTACATCTCGCGTCACAGGTACAGCATGGCTAAACGAACATTATTGGAAAATAGAGGCTGACGCTAAAATCGTCGGATGAAGATACAAAACACGTAACGATGTTCTCATCATTTATCTGGAGTAGAAAATCTCAAAGATGACACGTGGAAAATTATTTAAATTATTACTGGAAGAGTCAAGATGAATTTTTAAAAAATCCATGTCAATCCAATGTTAACTATTGGAAAAAAATGGATTTGAACATTCCTTTTTTTTTTTAAATTCAGTTTTTGTCACCGTCAAGGTACCATTGTGCCACAAAATGTAACGTTGCAAAAATTGCGCGCGGCTGCACTTTAACGAACAAACAAACGAGCGAATAGACAGGATATGTAGGTACGTTCGAATCGCGTAAATCGATCCATGTCGATAATAAACAAGCGTGTCCGCGCGTGAGCTACCTTGCTCTGACAAACAATTGTGGGGAATTTTTGTTTGCGAATGTCGCGGCGATCGCGAATAAGTGTATATTGCATTCAGTGGAATTCAGTCGACGGGAAGCACCATAAACGATGTGTAGTCCAAATCCCACGATTGTTTTGCAAATTATACCTGCTGATATTAATGATGCCCAACTGACACCAACAAGCAATTTCAATTTTGGATGTTATCGCTTGTCTATGTATATTCCTTTACGCACACTTTGGTAAAACACTATATACATATGGTATAGTTGATCCGAAATTATACAAACTGCGATAGCAATGCGAGACAATAAAATAATAGGTTGAGATGGTACAATTTTGAACAACGAGATAATTGTGAACAAAATAAAATTTGAACCCAATTTTAGCAAAGGTTTTAGCAAAGTTCAAGTTTGATTGTTTCCTATATTTGATTTTTTTTTAATACCCTCCACACAATGAGATCAGAGTTACCAACTTGAGAACCGCAAAAATTGAATTATTTTATTTCAAATTTTATTTCAAATTTTACTGTGTTAACACTGAGAGAAAAATTTTTGTATTTGTAACTGTAATTACATGTTACTATAATTATGATTATTATTGCTACAATGTTAGTGCTATATATGTATAGTTCTATATATATATATATATAATAGTTGGCAACAAAAAATGACAGTAATGGATATTATTATCATAAAAATGGTTATAATTACTATAAATGATAATAAGTCCATTTTTATGGTAATTTCAACCATGTTTATAGTAATAATAATATTAATTACAGTCATTCAATTGCCAGCTATATATATTTGTAAATAGAATTATACATACATAGTTATCATTATTAATATTATAACAGTAATAATCATAATTATAGTAACATGTAATTATAATTACGAATACTAAAAATTTTTTTTTCAGTGCGAAATTGTACCCTTTCATTCTATTGTGATCCAATATTTTTCTCTTAAAACGTAGATATAAATTGCGAAATATGAAACTAATGTTTAGCAATCATAAAATGGATATGTATTTCTATCGAGCTGCTTAATTGTAGTAACGCAAGCAGTACAGTTAATTTTAACACATTAAGCTTGACTCAATAAAGCATAATGGATGTACGTACACGTACATAGCGCATATCGAATAAAATTCGAACGATCAAGATAAAAGTATGAAGATCGATATCTCTCCATATATCACATTCTCGCCCTTGATGGATCTCATCGGCGTGTGCCGAGAAAGGTTCTAAAGAGACAGTCACGGTCTTACGTGACTTTATTGATTCGGTAAGGAAAAAATTATGGATGCAGGCCACTGAATAATATGCAAACGACAGGGTTGCAACGAAAAAATGAATCGACGGCCTTGTTATGTCACTATCTATATAGCGTGAAGTATCGCCTAAAATTATACGTAAATCAATATCACAAACTTCTATCCAGAACGCTCTCCAGTCAATGTTATCACATATTTAATGTGAAGTGCCGCTTTATATTCACATTATGTGTGATTCTCCAAGTAGACGACTGACAATGAGTTATGCAAGCATACTTAATCTTCCGTCTATAATTATATTTTTACTCTCTCCGTCTGCAGTTTGAGTCTTT